GCGGAACAAAGATCGTTTCCTTTTTAATACATATGAGCGTTATAAAAGAAACGTTCGCTCTTCGATATCTCTCTCAGGCTTTCTCTATACTTAAAGTAACACCGGATACTTGAGAGAATGGAGAATAAAAGACTTACGTGGCATAAAAACGACTTTGAATATTTCCGCCGTGCAAGTTTTACGCGAAACTTTTTCGGCGTGCTCCGAGCGAAGATAAATGGAGTTTTAAATTGAGGAATCCGGGCTCGTTGATAAAACACGAAAGGAAGTCTGCTAATAATTTATTTGATATTTTATAAGTAGGATTTCGTGTAGGAATTTATACCGATTCAGCGTTTTGCACTTAAAATAATGGATAATCGAGGGGTATCTAATAAAAAGATTATAAGAAAGATTGTAGGAATGTTAATTTTTCATTGATATTATTTTTTTTATTAATATTATTTGCTCAAAAGTACTCTCCAAATGGATATATGTTTGATGGAAAGACTCGTCAAATGCAACATGTAATTTATCAATTATTACAACATGATCATAATTAAAATAGACAATTAGAATCGCAGATAAAGCAAATAAAAGATTAAAGTGCGAATGAATGTGTGAGATTTTTAATTCAAAAAGAGGATCAACTTATTCTTCATTTATCATCACTACGTCGTATAATATTATTTCAATAAATGATATTTTAGGTAAATGCATAATTTCGGTTTGCTCGTTCTTCGTAAATATTTTGCGATGCTTATATGGTTGTCATTGTAAATGTATGATATATTATCTTATTGTAAAAAGAATAAATTTCCATATGGTAGCAGTTACTTAGACAAGATATGTAATGCGCTTTGTCCTCCCTCGGTTCCTTCCCTTTTTACTCCACTCGCGGAAACCTAGTACTTTTTATTTGTTTTTGTCTCGGCCGCGGCAAAGAAGCCTAAGGCGGCCTTGTTTCTTATTTCTGTATTTCTGTAGTACACAAGACGCGCATGAATTCATCTTTTATTCATAGTCGGCGACGGTACGGGATCCGTCGAGGTTATATGCGGTTCGTGACAGAGAGTTTTGCATAAGTGGTCTTAGATTTTGCAACTTTTGCATTGTCCAGGACAAAAATTTTGCCAGCGGACGATCATCCGATACAGCGAGGAACAATAAATAAAGCTATCGATTTCTAAAACTCAAGTTTCTCCATTTTTTTAGTTACGATTTTTCCAAAATTTATAAAAATTAAACTTGTTTACATGTAAATATATATATATATATATATATATATATATATATATATATTGTATATTTGCAATTCTTATCTATCTTAATATATTCTTAAAATATTTTATATACCTTTATATTTATTTTTGCATGAGGTTAAATATTTTTATTATCGAATACTTTCTTATAATAATGAATTAATATGTATCATTAATTAATATGCTAAAGTATGAAAAAATTTATATGCATGAGAAATTATATACGTTATTTAATTCATAGAAATAATAAGCAATGAAGCAATTTTTAAAGTTATTAATTATTTAAAATTTTGATTTATAACGCTGATATTTTAATTAAAATAGATTTTAATGGCGCGAGATAGAATTTGTTTTGTAACCGAGAGAACAAAAGAGGAAATGAATGAAATTGATTCTACTGAACAATAATCTTATTAAAATGAAAGTTCTGTGAAGAAAATGAAAGCGTTGAAAATGCGAATCGCTTCGTTGCCGTTATCTGTAAGGACTTCGCTCGATACGTGAAGCGAGTAGAAACGTGAAATACCTCCCATCGTAAGTAAATTACAACTCCGAGCTCTCTGCTCACTCAGTGCCCAGCGGAGCTGTAAAATCCAGAAATCAAACGGAGAGAAATAAACCTGCCGTGAAGTTCGCATAAACATGCCGCTTTTCAGAACGTCTCGAGGTATTTGCGTCCGTTTATAGCAATCACGGTCTTTAGCATCGGCGATTATATCGATTTGTCTCTGACGATGATTGAAATGCGATTTCGATTTATGTCAAAGCGGATGTCTGTTCTTTTTACCCGACATTCCCATCTTAGAAACGTAATTTATTAAAAATTAGAGGAAAACACACGAGAGAATTCAGAGGATTATATATTTATAAATGTGGAAGCTCTCCCAGAGAATTATAACGCAAAGAGAGAATTTTATTTCACACGAAATATTTTCTTTTAATGAAAAATACAAGCAAAATATTGCAAGAAGACTTAATCCGGACACATCAAGGAATCTACAATTTTAGAGATAGCGATAGTAGCGTATAATTTTTTTCTGATATACTTTGTGTAAGCTCAGATATGACAGCTTAAGGCACCGCGTTTTCAAACGACGACCAGACAGCTCCGTGTCGGAAAACGTGCATTTAAAGTCGGCTTATGTCTCATTCACGTCGGTATGGGAAACCCGTCGGAATTTCATGGAAACGTGCATTGCCTGTCGCCCGGAGAGAATCCATCTGTCGACTCTTGGAATTCCGATTTCTCAAGTATACGGCGAGTATCGAGAGAGAATGTTTTCACCATCTCTCGATAGCGTTTATACGGATTGCCCTTTCGTTTTCTTCTCTTTTTTTTTCAGAAGAAAAAAGAAAGGCACGACAGTCACGCGGCATCTGGCGCGACGTCAGTTTAACTCTGAAACTCTCGAAAATATTCTGAAACATTCCGCGAGCGGGAACTTCGACATTTTCGCGAAAGAAGGGTGTGTAATGGGATGGGCATCCGAGAGAATTCGCGTACATTCGCGCGAGGGTGTATTCGGAATACGAATCGATTGGCGCATGGATGCAAGGATATATAATCTTGAATTCTTCTAACGAGGAGAATCAAATTAGCATAAACGCGAAAGATGCGGCAAAGATGCGTCGTAATTCCGCTCGGGGTGAATCCCATCTTGGCAACGTTGGAGCTTGTCGCAATCAGCCTTTTACGTCCGGCACTAAAAATCGACGCGAACGATGCGGAAATAGCACGGAACGAAACTCGAATATAGACGCGTTTGTTGTTTACGCAGATTGTCGGTTGATTCCGCGCGTTGAGGGAGAAAGGGGTTGAACGCTAAATAAGACAAAGAGCATACGCCATCGCGGAGCGGGCGCCATTGCGGGCCGTAAACTGGGGCAATTTGCTGGACCGACGGCTATAGTATTAAAGTACGTATAGCGAGAGCCGCAAAAAAAAAGCAAACAACCTGCAATCCTCGTGTGCAAAAATATCATATCGACCTATCACTTGTACGTACAGTGTGTGCGGCGCATCGCGTTCGTTTCCGCTTTCAATATCGCGTGCGAAGGTATTCGGAACGCATATATTTGCACAATTACGCCGATTCTGTATCTTCGGGACGGAACATCTGTTTGCGCTTTCAATCGTAAACTCGACATATCGAAAACAAACTTTACAAACGATTTATTAAAAACTGGGCTTAATTGCGAGATGAGCGATTCGTTCGTTAATACCGTCTATTAATCCTTTCCTTTTTTTCTATTTACGCCCGTTTTACATCATTTTCCCATTTTACATTCTATTTATATCACACACTGCGAATTTCGTTTGAACTTTATCTCTATCCAATAAACTTTTGTTTTATTAAAAAATGAATAGTTTTATATATATTTCTTTTTAAATAAATATATGTGCATTTTTAAACTAATATAATAGGAATAAACAATATAACTTGCAATGTAAAATTATATTTATATGTTTCAATATTTTTTTATTTATTGTTGCAATATACAAGAAAATGATATTTGATGTTTTCATTAGAGAATCAATCAATTTTTGCACTAAAATTAAAACTTATCATTTGATTTAACTTTTTAGTTTCTTAGTAAGAGTAATTGCCTGTTCTCTTTTTGAGAAAGCGAGAGAGGAAGGATGGGAAAAAGAAAATATAATAGAGATTATATAAGTCTTCATTGTGTGAATAGAACTGCGGGCGTGTACAGAAATATATCAACGTCATCATCACATGATGCTGAAATTAGTCACGCATGTCGTTGTCTTAGCACGTTGTGTAATTTATTTTTTACGGAGCACAAGTGATGAAGATAAAACACATCTGAAAATATTATCAGCGCATGCGATGTCGAAATAACTTATGTTACAACGAAAATTTATGTTTCAAAACTGTAAAGACGTTGAGATAAAAGATTCTTCGCGAAATTTTTTTAATTTCAAATCTGATCCGCACTCAACGTTTTCGATTTTAATGATCGTTTCGCTACGACACGAAAATCAATCGTATTAGAAATAACACACGTACACTTTTGTTTACGAATCACTCGCGCATGGTATGCATGATAGGAAACGGAAATTAAATAAAAATCGCTCGTCATCAGTCCGTATAACGGAAATGAAAATCTGGAAAAACTGGTGTGAATGTAAAAAAAGACGAACAGTATTGAAATGAATGGAGAAATGGCACGGGAAGAATCAAATGGAACTAAAGCGAGAAATGCCATTAATATTTCACTACATGGATGCATCCAGAGAAATAATTTCCCAGTCTAAAATTATTCACTTCTGCATTTTAATTGATTATGAAGTATTCAGATTTCATGATTAATACCATTCTTCGCATTTATGAAACACAGATAGAACAAGAATTTTAATATTCTTCTGTCATAATACATTATAGGGTATATGATATTGATAGTTACATTTGTAAGTCATATTTTTCATTTTGTTGTCTCTCTCAAACTTTACGTTAATAAAATACAATAAATTATTTCAAACTTTTATTAATACATCAATGTATATTTAATATGTATTTGAACAGTAGGAATAGAAGGCAAGAGAATAATACAATTTATATTGCAATTATTTTTCATTAATATAAAAAAATTAATTGTATACATCATAACATTTTGAAACGAGAAAATCAATAAAGTGTCTTTCAAATAATTTGAAATACTACATTAACTGCATTTAAATGAACTACACAATGTATATACGCACGTACACACACACACACATATATATGAGATACTTACGGTTCCAGCCCCAGGATCGGTAATTTTGCACGGCAAAACTGCCGTGCTACCACTTTGAGCAAGCACCTCTCCAATTGGTCCTTCAAGAGCATCTTCATTTTTACCCTCCGGGACATTCAATGAGACGATTGCATTATTGGCACTTGAGTTCTGCTGATGCTTTGCCTGGCTTACTGGAGAACATAAATTACAACAATACTAAGAATAGGAACCATTCTATTCGACTTTAAGTAAAGTTTGTGTAAGACATGTCGTCTCAATAAATTAATACTAGCAATGATTTTTTTTCCTCAGTGCTGCAAATTAAATGTTTTCTTGGGACTGTCATTTAAAATATTCTAAAAATGTTCTTAAATGTTTATAAATTTAAAAATATAGATAATTATAACATTTTTTAAAGAAATATATAATTATTTAATATCACATATATTTTAAATATATACATATACGTGCATTATGCATTTTTATTTTTTTTTATAGACACAGCATGCCATATTTTATCATAATTATGATCTTATGCAAATATTCTATAAAAAATATTATTGAAAGGAAATGTTCATTTTAGAAATAATACATATTGTACATAAAAACTCTTTTATTCGATCCACCGTCTGAACTTATAATGCATAAATTTGATTGGATATTGGCTTAGAATAAATTATATCTGTCTGATAATTTTTAATTAAATAAAAATTCTGTAAAAAAAAATGCTATAAAAAGATGCAAGGATTCGCATTGCATATTTTCTCCCAATCTAGAAAATTCTCTCTCTCAAATTTAAATATCGGATTTATAATAAATATCTCTCCAAAAGTTGTTGGTTCTAAAGCCGGCTATAATCAAAGATTAAGGACGATTTCTCTACGGCTGCTCGGTCGACGAAGGGAGCGGCGCAAGGGCTGCAAAGAACGACGAAGCATCGTCCTGCCGACCTGAGATTAATGCAGCCGCTATCGCGACGATAACGCATAGCCCGAGCGTCGCCCGAGAGTAGCTTAAGTGAATAACTTAGTCATGGCAATTACGACGGTTCGGCCGGGCGTTTACCGGCGCCCGTGGTGCGCCAAACCTGGCGAATTCCGGCGGATATTCAGCCGGAAATTCTCCCCCTTGTGCCCTCTCGTCGTTTTCCCTCACTCGAGAACTCTAATTATTCGCTCGTTCCTGTGCGCATCGCCAAACTTTGCTGAAAAAAAATTTCCCTCGCCAGTATCTCGTTTCGATTTTTTCGAATTGAAAGCTCAAAACTGGATGTCTAGTAGAATATTTAGTAATAGATGTCTGTTATTGACGTTTCGTTTTCAAAATGTAGCGAATATATTTACGGTAATATTCGCTGCATATGTTAAGTTCTTTAAACTCTTGCTCTGAGATTTTACTTTGGATTTGGCTACGTCAGAAAAATATATATTCGCTAATAATGAATAATTATAAATATATATATTCTAACTACATTTGACATTTTCTTAAAAATTTCAGAGAATCATATTTCACTTTTAATTGTATCTAAATAAAATCTTTTCTCTATCTTGTATAAAAATTATAGATTTTTTTTTCTTACATGTATGCATATTATAATTTTAATGAGATATATAATTCAAGAAATAATATATATATATTATACGAATACAACACAAGATATTTTTAAGTTCTATCTACTTTTTTGTTGAGTAAAATTTAAAAATATAAACGTTAAGAATTAATGTATTGAAAATTGCTATAAAAATATATTTAAATATAAATTTTCTTATGCTGAAATATTAGTGAACTTTGTGTTCGGATATTTCTTCCACCGTTTAAAATATGTATGATTTAATATTCAATGAAAACCCAATTTTGTTATTATACGATGAGATATTTTTGATATATTTGAGATATATTTAAGATATGAAATGAAATATTTAGAATTATACATACATAACCACATACATAACCACATACATAACCACGAAAGTATGCCATTGCAATGTGATACAAATCTCTGAATATAAATCTCTAAATATAAGCTTTGAATATTTGAAATAGCTATGGCGTGAAAGATATGCTTTTGAAAATTATACATTACGGAATATCGTAAGAAACGATTATGATTTATTATGCATTAAATCAAAGACGCTTGTCTTCAATTTGAGCGAGGACAAAATAAAATCGCCCGAACTGACGTAATTTTCTAAATTGAATTTACCAGTGATTAGTACTCGTACGTACCAAGAGATTAATCTGGCACAATTTCAGAAAGTTTGCCGAATTGAGAATCGTAAAACGGCCTGGTAATAGGGGCCGGTGTGCATTTAATTAAACTTTCAATTAGATCTAAAGCTTCTGAGGTGTTACGACGACGACCTAAATTTTCAATACCGCATCGCGTCGTTCGAACAAGACATTATACGAATTCGTTCGTCGGTAATATTAACGTCGACGATTTTCTTCGTCGACGTTCCTCGAGAATCGTCGTTCGTATATAAGAACGTTTGACAACCCGATGGGTGATCGGCTCTATTTCAACGCGCCCGTCGAGAAGTTCGACGCTAACAAGGCGAGAGCATCGCCGTCGGTTTTCAGCAACGCGATAACCGGAAATTACATGTCAGCCATCGAATTAAGTGTTTTCCATGCCGGCACGAAAATAACTCGCGCAAGTGTAGAAGAAACGTAGCGTGCCGCGAGTAAGCGCGCGGGAAACGCCTGTGTTTCTTCAGGCGACTGCATCATTACCGTTGCAAATTGTATGCCGTCGTGAAGCGAATACCGACGAGCAGCGCGACGTAGGAAAATTAGGAACAAAATTATTTAGGCTAAGAGAGTCGCTACTTAAACACGCGATTTGTAAGACGAGAACGCACGAGGAGAAATACGAATGAAGGTGCCGTTTCCTGCCGCGCAATTTCTAATTCTAATCCTGTAAAACTTGTAAAATGCCACCGAAGGGATGAACAGGTAAAATCGGGAACAGCTGAAGAAGATTCCAAGTGAAAGAAGGAACCATTGTTACTAAATAATTATGAATACGTAATTTAGAAATGTAAAATAAATGATATTTTGGAGACTAAAATTTTATTTCCTATAAATAATTAAAAAAATTACTTAATATTTGTAACGAATAAAACAAAGTTACATTTACAAATCCGAACTCACCTGTAAAATACAAGTGTGTCTCGAATAAGATGCCCACCACGATCCAAAGTATCCTCATGATGATTAATACTCGAGTCCTTTCTTTAAATAAACATCTCTTTCGAAATATCTGGAACATAAAAAAGAATATAAAGATTTAACATTTATTTCTTTCGCGATCATAATTAGTTACTTTGATATTTAATTTGTTCCTTAAATAATTTTTAATTTAATTCAATCTTTTTCCTTCTCCCAAGATAGCGTTAAATTGCAATTACAAAGTATTATTAAACTGAAAAACGATCCATTCTATAGTGAGAATAATGCAGAAAAGAACATTGTTTGAATTGCTTTATTCAAGACATTCAATAGCATTATATATCGATAGTGTTACATGTAATTCTCAAAGTTTAATAATTTCATAAAAACTTTTAACTAAAGAATAGCGATAGAGTCAAATCCTGAAGCACTTTGTAAACTATGTTACATATGCAGTAGAATATAAAAAATTGACTGACTTTTTCTATCTTTTGGGCAGCGATGTTCTTTGCTTATTCATACATATTTGCTCTTTCCTTATTCGCATATTGTCGCCCTACAATTTCCGGTAGAAGTTCTATTTTCTTTTTTTCTCTGTCTCCTTCTCTCTATTTTCTTTTACTTTAATATAAAATGTATTCTCCCTCTTTCTTATTTTTTATAAATTTTTTTCTTATTTTTTTGACACTTTTTCTTGGCATTTTATCTACAATTTGCGAGGCCATATGCGTTCGCAAAAGAAATTAAGGTCAAAGAGAAGAGCGAAAGTAACTGTAGTGTGTTCCAAAACTACGCGCAAGGTGTCCCTAACGTGGTATTAACTAGTTTTGTCGAATAAAAAGTGCTAGGCTTTTTGTGAGATACGTGCAACTTTTTCTTAACATTTCTAGGCTAACATTAATGTAGCGTTTTTAAATTGTAAGATCAATATATGTATATATATACATACATACATACACATATATGTATATATAAGGACGTGGATAATGTACTTCGTTGAGATTCTTATCCATTTTTAATTCTTTATTATTTTTAACACGCACTTTGTTATAATAACATTTTATTTTTTTATACAACAATGTAGTTACGTAAATATTAAATTTACACTGTAGCTACATAAATAAATTGAAATTTTTACAGGATTAATACATAAATATTACATAAAGAATAAAAAATAAATAATTAAAAGTTAATTAAACATAAAAATATATGTATATTCAAAGAAACAATATAAATTAAAGCATTAAAAAATTTTGAAATATAAATGAGAGAAAGATTTCTCAACTATTTAAGAATTTAAAAAATTAAAAATTAAAAGTAACTATACAGATAGGAACATAATAACCTCATTAAGAAATAAATTAAGAGAGAAAGAGAGAGCTGAAGTTTTATAACATAAAAGATATACAATTAAAAAGTACTTTTTTATTACATAATAATGCAAAAATATATGTAATAAATGAATTGTAAAACGCCTTTAGAACCAAGCGCCTAAGAGTTGGAACGAACCAAATAAAAATGCAGATAAAAGAAAGTTAATAAAAGGAATTTGCACGATGGAAAGTATGTCTGGCGGAAAAACTAAAGACATTGAGAGAACATTGAACGTTGCCATTGGGAATCAATGATGAAACAGATATAAATTCCAAGAGAAGGCTCTCTCTAAGATGGAAATTCGCGATCACGCGGGAGATACACCGGTGAGCTTCGCCGTGAAAAACATCGAAAGTATTCGATGAATTCCCGAGACGAAACAATGGTCGGACGAGCGTGATAATATTTCGTCGAGATACCGTTGGAACCTGTCAGTCCAATAAATATTCGGCTAGAATATTATTCGTATCGCGACTCGATCTCCCGGGATCGCCAAAGTAGAAATGTTTCGAGGAGGCTTTCATGTACTCGCATAATTATCGTCCGGGGATCATTACGCATAAGTGAAAAGACACGAGATGTTTTGTTGACAAGATAAATATATTGACATTTGCATATCTCCAATATCGACATAGAAACTGAAAATTTCTATCTTTTCAACCGCTAGTTTTTTCTGTTATTAAATCTTATTGAAACAAACATTTTTATAACATGTGTCTTTCTTTTTCTTTCTCTTTCGATAAAAAACAGTTTGATATAAATATCTGAAATTTGAAAAATCAATTAATCCAAAAATAATTCCAAAAATTAATATTCCAAAAACCATGGAATTGAAAAAGTAAAACAATACTTTAAAAAATGATAATCTCGCAGTATACGAGACAATGTTTTCAAAAAGTTACAAATCCAAAAAAGAACAGAACAGGAAAATATCTCCAAATATAATATATATTTTTAAGAGTAAATTAAACTCTCTCTCTCTCTCTTTCTCTCTTGAGAAAATTTCTTCTGAGAAAAGTCAGATAAATAAGTAATTTTTGACAATTTTAGAAGCATTCTGAAATTGCATACTATAATTGTCTTTATTTTTACATTATATACAATAAGAAAAATATACATATAATATATACATATATTTCTTATTAAATTCTTATTTGTCTATCGAGATTAATTCGAATATTTATTTTTATACAAGATAATTAATAAATAGTATAACTGATTAAATTGAAAAATTATATACCTTTAAACTTTTAATTGTCATATATATTATTCTTTACTATTCGAATAATCTATTATTTTTTAAGCAAAACATGCAACACATGCACATGTGTATTTTTTTAATTTATAATGTTATGTATCATATACATGTATAGAAGGATTATCAAATAATAATATTGATTAGTGATATAGATGCAATATTATACTTTCTAGCCAAAACATTTTATAATATATAAATTTTATAATATATAAATACCTATAAATTGCTTCTCGTTTCGAATAGGAAAATAGGTAATTTTAAGCATGATACGCAGTGCTAAATCTATATCAGATTTACAGCAAGAACGAGACTCGCAAGTTCTCTAATTCACGAGCGGTATTCGATATTCGCGTTTTTCTTCCACCACTACAGACTCACGTCTGTATGTTACACTCGCAGATTGTGATTCGACTATTCGTAAACCAGCCACGAACGCCATATGTTCCCAGCTGGCATATATGTTAGAATTTTCAAAGTAAGCGCCCGCGCAACGTTTTTCTCGATCGACAAGCAAAAAATATATTCTAAATTTTTTCACTTGACTAAGTTTCCTGTAATATTTAAAACCAATTTCATATCACGTTGATGTTGTTTTTGTATGCATGTTAATTTATGTTTTTCTAGATTTAGTTTATGAATAATAATAATAATATAATAATATTAGTAGAGAAATAATTTTCTGTATGTATGTCATGTTAATTAATAATTAATAAATATTTTATATTTTAAATATATTTTTATTACAAATAAAATATCTGCCTTATATAAATATATATATATGTTTATATAAAGTAGATATAAAAGCTAGATTAATTATTTCTTCGTGCACGAATAAATATTCTGACAATGTAATCTTATTTAGCACACAGAACTCGAGGAAAGTACCTGCGAAACATGAAGACAAATGTTTTCCTCATCTCATGCATAAAATTGACATTTACTTTCAATGTCGAGAGAGGCCACGTTTTACTGTCACATACATGTTTCGCTCACGGCGCGCTACTCGTAGACAAATGGCCGTGTTATTTCCTGTCATACTAGGAAGTTCATTATTCGGACAGGTTAACGAGCACGAGTGTATTTGTCCCTAAAGCTATAATCGATAAAGGATTTATGGAACGCGCGACATCCACCTCCTTCTTCTCTGCCACATACCAAAGGACAGAATTGCGCGAAGTAGTCACGCGAGCTCGCAGTGAATTCGGAAATCTTATAAATTCTCTCGGCTCCAAAACAATCTTCCGTCCCGAACTAAGCGACTCGTTTCCGCCCTTGGCATTTAAATATTTAACAGGAGATCCGAAAGCACAATCGCGTGCTTCAGACGAGTTGGCATCGCGCTTAGCATACCGTGCGTGTAATTACTCGGATTGTCTGATGATTGATTGATCGTATTTATATGTATTTATATGTAACGACATGTTGATCCTGCGATAATTCGTCAACAAATATCGCTAACAAATATCGACTTCGTGCGTACATGATTCGTGTCCCAGTCTATTTGGAAAGGATATCCATTGTTGAACCTGTACTTAAGTTAAATTTTAGATCGCAAACCATGTTTCTGTATCAATTCTATTAAAAGTCAGACGTGACTAACCGAGATATATACGAATCTAGACATTACGTTTGAATGATGGTTATAAATTCTCATGCCAGGTATATTTGTAGTCATTCTATATAGTTGTCCATATACAGCCGTTCAATGTAGTCGTCTATAAAACCGTTGAATGCATTGTTCTCTTTTTCGCTTTTTCAGATGTATTAATCACAAAAAATAAAAGATTTTGGTAAAACCAAAATTTATGATCTTTAGTCAACTGCTACCCGCTTGCGTAACGAGATGCATTGTTTTTCTTTTAAATTCATCGATCAACAAAAAAACTAAAAGAAATAAAGCAATACAATAAAAAAAAATATAAAAATCAAAAGTAAATCATTAAAATAATAAATGCAATTCTAGCAAAATTAAAATTATACAAAGATGTTCAAATATTGCCAATATTGAGTTTAGAAGAATATGAAAATAATATACATGGAACAATAATTTTTTATAATTTTTTTATAAATTTTTCCCCCTTCAAAATAGTTTATATGCAATAGAATGCAATAAATATGTAACGAGGGCAGAATTATTTTTGCATTGTCAAAGTAATGATTTCACCAGAGAGATATGCAAGAACGATCGACAATGAAAAGCAAAAGAAGTAAGTAAGATTGCTCGAAGCGAAGGAATGAATACAACGGAATGATAGAAAGAAAGCTGCATGCAAATCGACGGAATCGGCGTACATCGAGTTTCAATGGCATATTTCACCAGCCGCTCGAATCAAATTCAAATCGGAATGTCAACATGTCGCTGATTGAGCTTTTTTAAATGGAAATTCGTCGGCAGAAGCTAAACTAGTATTTTAGATATCACGCGAGGAAAGTGTAACGTTCCTTTTTATTCACGGGAT